GATGGATGAATAATCATTCAGTCCAATCAGTGACAAGTTAAGGCAGGCTGTAACACTGGTGGTTTATTATGAACATTAAAGAACTACCTCTAAGCCAACATGTGATTTTTTTTTTTTAGACATAATTGAGCAGTAACATTTGAGAAACAGTGTTTCTTGCAGCGTGCAAGAAAATATCTAACTGGTAGAATAGCAGATGGGTGGACAGCGGACTGTGAAAGTAAAAAGTAAAATCCAACTTGTCGTTATTGCAGCATAGAAGTGTGTGAGCACCGGTGTTAATAAAACCATAAAATCACATCTGGAAACTGCAAAAAGAGACCACAGCCTGAAAACCACACATGAACATAAACAAGGCTCCACTGAAACCTGGAAATCAACCAGATATAATCAGCGTGTGTTGGAGTATGACAACCTCAGCAGGCTTCAAAGAATCTACTTTGTATGAAATGCCAACAATGTAACAAGCGCCGTGCTTGAAGTCGACTGAGGCTTAAACTGGGCTGCAAATGTATATTTTGTCTGTGTGTTTTTGCTAATCCTCCATTCTGTGTCGCTAAACCATTGCTAAAGAAGGGAGTGCAATGAGATGATGCAGCTAAAAGAGCACTAGGAGTGATGTAGCAGTGTACAAGACATAATGGCACATTGTCAATCAAATGCACCAAACAGAAACAACTCAAAACGCACTGACAGGTAAAGTAAATAACACCGATGATCTTTTTCAGTGTCTTCCGTCAGTTGAAATAGTCAAATAAGAAAGCATACAGATCTGAGCGACTTAGACAAAGGAAGAATTGTGATAGCTTGATGACTGTCAGAGCATCCACAGGTATTTTTCATGTTCCTCTTATGCAGTGGTTAGTACCATCCTCAAGTGGTTCAAGGAAGGACAGCTGGTGAACTGGAAACATGGTCATGGGCACCCAAGTTTTACTGATTAACATGGAGAGCTAAAGCGGGCCCATGTGGTCTGATCCCACAGAGGATCTACTAAATACTGCAATGTTGGCTATGATAGCTAGGTGTCAGAACACAATGCATTGTAGCAAGAAGAAGACAAGCCGGGGGAGGCAGTGCTGATGTTCTGGGCAATGTTCTGCTTAGAAACCTTGGTCCTGGCTCTGTTTATATAGCACCCACCTAAACATCGCTGCAAACTACGTACATCTCTTCCTGGCAGTCATATTCCTTAATGACAGGGACCTCAACCATTGTGCAGGAATGGTTTAAGAAACATACCCAATAAGAGTTTAATGTGTTGACTTGACCTACAATCTTTTTTAATCTGATCGAGCATCTGTGGAATGTGGTGTAAAACCAATTCCAGTCCTACCTTCTAACTTCCAGGACTTCAAGGATATGTTGCCAACATCCTGGCTCAGGTCTATAACGACCTCTAGTCCATAGAATAATGTGTAAATTCAGTCCACTTACTCAGCAAATGTAGCCTAATCTTGCAGACAAATTTGTAAATCCACATACACATAATCTATGTACATGCTGGGAGTCCAATCAACAGTCTGACTCAGAGTTTCTGTGGTTTAAAAGCCCCCATAACACACATGCACTCCGTGATGTGCGGTGTTTCAACATATTGCTAGTCACTCTGTCTCTGGTTGTTGGACGTTAATGCTGGATCATTAACTGCTAATTGAGGGGTGGATTCATATTTTCCAGATTACACTGTACGTACTGGTCATGAATTAAACATACCCACTAAGACTCTTTTAAACCAGCCTGAGACCCTCGAATACACAGACGCATGCACACACCGCTGCCAAAACACCAAAGATAAAATCAAACTAATCGGCCCAAATAAATTTGATCATAACTTTGCAGCTTAACTAGACACAGCAGTTCTGACGTTCTCATGTTGTGCTAGTGTGTATTGGGTTATAATAAGATCCAGTTTTAAGGGTGCTGTCTTTCATCAGCCTTTCCAAAACCCCAATAATGAAAGCTCAAGTGTAAATAATGGATTAAATAATGAGTTTTCTGCTCAAACATAAACTGCCAACATTAATATTAGTTGTTATAAATTCTGAAGGCATGATTTTTAATACTGTCAAAAACATATAACTCTTTTATAATTAAAGTAACACAGAGGTGCTTTATTAAGCCATCTTTAATTAGCTTTGTTGTTTTCAGTTATTTGTCTATTTCTGTTATTTTTATTGAAGATTGTGCTGTAAACCAAAAACTAGAGTCAAACATTCTTGATCAATAAAATTAAGTCTCACCTATTTTTTTTTTATTTTTACTTTTTTCGTCATGTAGTTTTAATCTCTGTCTTTCAGCATAATGTTATGTAAGAATCTGATGCATATCATGAGTTTGCAGGCTGACTGTATGCTCAGAGTTTTTATTGATGAGAATGATGTAGAACCCTGAGAACAAAACACCAAAGGAAGAAATGGCCCAGTATAGACAAAACAGAAGAAAGACAAGAAAGATTTGTGAGTGAATTGTAAGATCATATCTGGCCGCCACACAAAGTAAACTTACTGTATCAGCTACCTGGCCAGGGACAATAAAGTGACACAATTTGTTCAGAGAATATTTTTGCAACTTCACTTCTGTTTCTTATGAGATGAAAAAAAAAAATGGTGCAATCAATAAGCTACCAAATCTTCCTCCATTCTGAGCTCTATATTCCTGTACAATCTGTACAGTCAGGATTGTCTGTGTTTCATAAACATGAGTTTGCAGGTCAAAGGTGACCAAGGGCATGTTCTCTGTAGTCCACTGATCACGGCAATGCCACCAAGATGAGTTGATTACATCATTTTAGATACTTGTCCAAACAGTAATGAATTCTGTACGGAGGAAGGTGTGAAAGTCCTTTCTAAACCAAAGTAATAAACAAATGAAAATCTCAACCTGATGGTCAACCCAGTCGTTAAGTGGTTGAGGCACATACCATGTGAGCACTAATGTCCTGACCAGCAAATCCTCGGTTCAAATCCTGGCTGGTTGGACCATTTTCTGCATGCCACTCCCCCACTCTCTCTTCTTGGATTTTCTGTCAACAATCAACAGAGGCAAAAAAGCCCATAATTAAAGGCATTATTACTGTCTGTGCATTATTTAATGACAATCCATTTAGTAGTTCTAGCTGTTGAGAGACTTCAGTCTGGATCAAAGAGGTGCACCAACAAACTGACATTGACTGCCTATAGAGACATGCCACTAGTGTGGCTAAACAGCATGAAGGTTAGCTCACACAAACAATTTACCCTCCTGTCCTCATCTGGACGCAATTAGTTAAGTTTAACTGCTTTTTGCCATTCCATTGTCTCATTCATTTAATTTGTCTCAAGTAAAGACAAAACATAATCCTGAGTCTCCGATGTCAGTTTAGACCCAGACTTTGTGTTTGGGGGGTCTTTTTTGTGGGTAGGAGACTCTGTGTTTCCAGAGACTCCTGGCTTTTGGTGGTTTGGAGGACAGCCTGAGTGGCTTCACCACATGCTGTTTGTCTTGGATCAGCATCACCAGAAAAACCATCCAGCTGGGAGGATTATGAAACTGGTGCGAAACCCACGGCCTGAAGAAATGCTTTCATAATCTGAACTGGACATGAGGAAACTTTCTGAAGAATTATAGCCTTCTTAAAATGCTTTGAAGGAAACAATTTATTTGTAACTGTAACTCTGAATCCTTCTCCCACCATCTTCTCCAACCAGCTCTCCTTCCACTGATCCACATCCAAAGTTACTGTGATCATAAAGTTCTTGTGCCATTAAAATCATCAGAGAACATCAGCTCCAGGCCAGCGCCTCCTCAGATGAATGAAAAGTTGAAATGATCAGCGAAGCCTCAGCCCACCAGTGGTTTCCTGTTCCCCTACTCTGGTTACAGTCCTGAAAAGAGAATGATGGGAGATTTTCCGTGGCGTCCTTGGAGGCAACCTCTGTGGCCATGTTTCCTAAGAGCAGGGTCACAGTGTCTTTCCCCAAAGTACGGAAAAACTGAAATATGAATTACTTACATATGAGGGGGCGCCAAGAGCAATTAGAGGAGGAGGGTTTGAAGGATTCTTACACAAAAAGCCGGAGAACAGTTTCTGTAGAATGACAGAAGAAAAAATAAAAGTCTAAGCTACAAAGAGAGCAACCAAATGTTTGCCCATGTACTGTATGTATACATGAGCAAATGCTAAAAGCGTTCTCAGGCTTTGAAGTTATCATTTTAAAGCAGAATTGCAAATCTCATTTAACATAGTTTCAATCAGAAATATCAGATTTTTGTTCAAATATATTTGGCGACTTCTAGCGGTGTTACTTGCTTTGATTTTCTGAACAGACTGATACATTGGTGGATATATGAGGTTCATATCGGCAACCTCACTTCTAATCCATGTTTGTCAGTATATTCAGAGCTATTTTTCTAATGCTATTTTTTACTATGGAATTAACGATAGATGGGTGACAAATTCAAGGAAAAACACACCATTTTAGTGCACTTTGGCATCACTTTGTCTTAATGATGGTGATGAAGAGCTCCGTAAAATGCATAAATCTAAAATGTCTCATATGTTTCGTGGAGTTGAGATTTAGTGCGTGTAAAGGCAGTAATTCCTTGAATGTGTTACCTGTCTATAGGTGTATGAGAAACTCTCATTGCACAAAAAATCATTGCACAGTTGGCAGTTACAGTGAGTGTTAAATAGTGACGAGTGAGTGAGAGTGGAGAACTTCCCCTGATTACTTCTGATTTGCACCAACATCCCGTTCCATCACAGTCCCTCTGAGAACAGAGTAGCTTTGTGTTTTGTTTCATTGTGGAATTTGGAGCATTCACTTCAGTGATCATCATTCATGTCCTCTCACAAGGCTGCCTGATTATTCCTGCTCACTGAAGCTTGTAATGTATTTATTTTCCTTCTAAACATGTAATATCTTTTCCCTCTCTGTGTAGGATCACTAATTACTCCATGAGGAATCAGGGGCCATGGTGCTGATGGGGCTCCATCTCCTACTGCTGGTCCTGTGGGTTGGCATTGGGGTAAAGTTCCAAGTTGGGGGTGACCAGATGAAGCCAGCCCGGACACCTCTGATCCCTCATCGGCCTTTTGTTGTAGTCTGGAATGCCCCAACTGAGTCATGTCGCTTTCGATTCAAGGTGGACCTGGACCTAAGCGTTTTTGACATTGTAGCAAATCTCAATGAAACATTAAGTGGACCAAATGTCACTATATTCTACCACAGCCATCTGGGACACTACCCATACTACTCCAACTCTGGTGTTCCTGTCAACGGTGGCCTGCCACAAAACCAGAGCATCTCCAAACATCTGAGCAAGGCCCGGGCAGATATTGACAAACTGATTCCCCATAAGGATTTTCGAGGTCTAGGCGTCATTGACTGGGAGAACTGGAGGCCTCAGTGGGTTCGAAACTGGGGCTCCAAAGACATTTACCGCAACAAGTCCAAGGAACAGATTCGAAAACTTCATCCAAACTGGCCAGAGAGCAAAGTAGAAAAGGAAGCAAAAGAGAGCTTTGAGAGAGCTGGGCAAGCATTCATGAACCTAACCCTGGCATTGGCTGAAGGTCGCCGGCCAGATGGGCTGTGGGGATTTTATTTGTTCCCAGACTGCTACAACTATGGATACAAGCAGCACCCACAACGCTACACAGGCGAATGCCCCAATGTAGAGCATGTTCGCAATGACCATCTGATGTGGCTCTGGAAGGAGAGTACAGCCCTCTACCCATCCATCTACCTGGACTACGAGCTAAAATCTTCCCCCAACACTGTCAAGTTCGTCCACTACCGTGTCAAGGAAGCCATGAGGATAGCGTCCATTGCCCGTACAGACTTCACATTGCCTGTGTTTGTCTACTCCAGACCTTTCTATGCCTATACCTTTGTAGTTCTCTCAGAGGTAAGTTGTCAGGGTTTTTTTTTTTTAATGGATCAAATCTCCTTAGTGTGTGTGCCCACTGGACATGTTTATAAGTTGCACAATTACCTATGAATAAGGGGCTTACCACATACTCCATTGTCCAGAGTTCCACCCCCAGCTGAGGAACCTTTGTTGCTCTTGTTCCCTTTCTCTCTCTGCCTTTGTTTAATCTCTTTCCACTCTGTTGACTTTCAAATAAAGACAAAATTTACCCCTCATTTGCTTTCCTTATGCGTGTTTGTGGCCTAGAGAGCATTTTTAGATTTTGAACTGAAAAACTAAACATTTATTTGTTTTAAACTCAAGTGCTGACTATTGCTTGAAAGGCCCCTGTCTTTTTGTTGAAGAGTGACCTGGTTCACACCATCGGGGAGAGTGCTGCCTTGGGAGCATCAGGCGTTGTCCTCTGGGGATCATCAGAGTATGCTCGATCACAGGTAACACAAGTTAATCACAGGTGCAAACTTGATGTCTATTATTGTTTTCTTCAGAGATTTATTTTTTTTTTTTCAAAATTTGTTTCTTGTCAGAAACTACTGGAGACAACATTTGAGTCATATGTGAAAGTGGCCAGGATTTCTGTCCATGATTGGGCATTCTTTTGCATCCTATTTACAGCCAACTAAACTGTACATCTTGATGAAAATAAATCTGCTATCACTTGAAACTGAAGAATCACTGATCTGTGCTGGCATCTGTTATATGTGGATCCACGATGAGGACCAATGCCATTGCATCTGTACACCAGGGCAGATATGTTTGCGGTTCTGAGTCAGATGCTATGAAATATTCAGTGGCGATCTGGCCCATTCTTTCTTCACTGAAATGAGGCAAAGCATAGCTCATTTTCACTTGAGTTGAACAATTCTTGATTAACGGGCTTGATGTTGATTCCAAGGCCAAGAGTTAGCATATCATTAGCTAACTCTGTGGGGGTTACTGGTTAAATTACAAAAAATGTACTCAGGACTAGTGTGTCCACTGTGTGAGCTGATCATGGATAGCACAAGTAAGGCTTCAGCTAACATGAATGAGTCCAACTCTTTTTGATTTGGGGGAAAATTACTAATAAAATGAAAAAGTCAAACTCAATAGTCAATCCTTTTAAGTCCTCATCTTTTACAAGAAAAAAAATATTTAAAAAACTACCAACAGTAAAGTGGAAATCTACTAGTCGATCCATGCATGTGCATCTCATGTTAGAATAATACAGAAAATTAAAATAAAAAGCCTGCAAAGTAGGAAACTAATATAAGCACTGATGGCATGGTAGGAAAAAATGCTCAACAGATACATAAAGTGGAAAAAAAATCTACATTTACTGGTTTAAAATATGACACTATATACACTATATATAACACTATTATGAACTCTGTATCCGACTTTGACAGAATGTTGTGTCTCCTCTCTCCTCCAGAGGAACTGCCTGACAGTGAAGAAATACATTGACGGCCCTCTCGGACATTATGTCATCAACGTGACGTCAGCTGCTAAGCTGTGCAGCAAAGCACTGTGCAAGAAGAACGGTAGATGTGTCCGCAAGAGCCTGGACTCAGGTGCTTACCTTCACCTCAACCCGCGCTTCTTCCACATCCACCGCAACCCGACGCCCAGGGGCCCCCGCTTCCACGTCAGCGGTCACCTCAACAACCATGACATCCTGGACATGAAGCACAAGTTCACCTGCCAGTGCTACCTGGGCTGGACAGGTGTTTACTGCGAGATGCCCCAGGCTCTGCCCCGGCCTCCTCCTCCCCCGCCTCAACCTGCTGTCCCGCTGCCTGTTCCTCGGGGGAACAGCCTACTGGGAGACATCCTGTTCCTCTTATCCCTCCATTTCTCCTGCCTGTGCATCATCATGTTCCTGGGACTCTGTCTGATTATCAAGTGTCTCATACTGTAGACACAGTAGACAGTTGCTGCAATTCCTCTAATGTCCACTAGTTGGGGCAAACCGTATTGAAAAAAATAGTAAAACCTCCAACATCGCCATCCATCCATCCATCCATCCATCCATTATCTATACACCACTTAATCCTCACGAGGGTCATGGTGGGCTGGAGTCTATCCCAGCTGACTTAGGGTGAAGGCAGGGGACACCCTGGACAGGTCACCAGTCTATCACAGGGCCACACTTAGAGACAGACAACCAAGCACACTCACATTCACACCTACGGACAATTTAGAATCACCAATTAACCTCAACATGTTTTTGGACCTTGTGGGAGGAAGCCGGAGAACCCAGAGAGAACCCCTGCTGCACGAGGAGAACATGCAAACTCCACGCAGAAAGATTCCGGTGCCCCCACTGGGACGCGAACCAGCGACCTTGCTGCGAGGCAACAGTGCTACCAACTGCGTCACTGCAGCCCCAATGTCGCCATACAAATACAAAATCAGTCCTTATTCTAATGTTTGACTTAGTGACTAATTTAAAAATTATTTTTGATGAAAGGAATATAAATATATATATTTTCTCAAATCGCCATGTCGGCTTAAAACTTAAAAAGGCTGAAATTTGCTCTTTTGTTAGACATGCATTCACAATGACACCATAACTACACGGTAAGAATCAGCTAAACACACAGCAGAAAAGTGATGAATTTTTGGGAAGTTTGTGGTTTGTCATGTGTCTACAAATGATTTTTACAAATTACAGGTTTACAGAGGGTAAAGCTATATTAGGATTCCTATTGAATAATAACAGCAACATTGAAATTAGACAATAGATTTTCTGTTAGACAGTACACCATCATACAAACACTTCAGAAATATATATATTTTTTATTGTCTGAGTGATTTCTGTCTTTCTGCCTTTGTGCATCTTTGCTGCAGCGAAGCATTTTGTTTTACAGATGATTGTGCCGAAACTTTAAGTTTTTTTGAATCATTCGTAGTGTTTTGACGTTTTCATCCTTTGAAGGAAACTATAAATTTTGGGGGAGAGGAGAGACTTTCTGTGACACATTATCAGTTCTGATTTAAGCTGAGTTTATTGTTGCCATTGTCACCTTTGCTCATGTGCCAAGAACAATGTCAATACTGCTGGTTTGCTCCTTTTGGTTAATTGTTCACCTTCAAACTTTTGTAACCTGGCGCATGCAGTCCAGCTGGTACATTTGCAGAACGAACAATCCGGAGACACGAGTCTATGAACAGGTTCATCCCTACAGGCATCTATATGCTCCATCAGTGTGAGAGCAAAGGGTTTCCCAGATGGCACAGAACACATGGTAGATTGTTGCAAGATTTGAAAAAGACAATCTGTGGAAACATTGCCACTGTATTTGTTTGAACTTTCTCTACAGTAACTCTGCTGTTGCTATTCCAGCAGCACAGATTGTATTTTCCCCACAGCAACACCTATCAGTAAGAAGAAGACTGCATCAGGTCAAGTGTGAGTATAAAAGATGATATCACGGCAGTGTTGTCACAGTTTGCATCCACAACCACCAATATGTCATAAAGAGACGCAGAGTGTCTTGGCCTGTTGAAAACAACTAATTGATGAAAAACCTTCACAGAAAAACTTGAGACAGAAACTCCACTGGAGATAATTCTCTCTGGTTGGAAAACAAAATAAACATTCAATAAAAAAAATAAAAAAAAAACTCATAAAACTTTCAATAAATCAACAACTTCTCTAGACGACACTTCACTTAGTTTACAGTCACAGCTGTTTAATTTGGGATAATGACTGTAATGGGACTGACATCAGAGCCAGCACTCCATCAGCCTGCTGAGGGAATCCACAGTCTGCTGGTGATGGTGCAGTCACTAATGAGTCACAGCGAGCGGCGGTGGGGCGTGTCACATGACCAAACAGTTTAACAATAGTCCCCGTCTGTCCCACGGGAAAGGGAGGGACGACTGGGTGTCAAACACTGTTTTGGTTGATGGTAGGAGGGAGAGGCTTCTGTTGCAACTGAAGCTTCATGATTCAATCCTGGTAAAAAGAAAACCTGTCAAAACATAGCGAAGTGTGGATTAGATAGCCGCTGAAGTCAGCTCATTATAAATGGAAGTGTTTGCCAACCTGATTTTAACAGAAGCTTTAGAATCACTAATCTGCTGCTGCTGCTGCCGGAGGATGAAAGGTGCCTGTTATGAACAGTTTTACCTGCAGATTATCTGATTTGATGTTTATTTATAGTGTATTTGTATGTTTACTTGTAGCTGTCACTGAGCCCAGTGAGTGTTTGGAGGAGCAATTTAGAGAAACCAAGCTATTTTATAAATTATCACCTCAATTTACCAGATGAATTCCTGCAACTTTAAAGGAAAATCTGAGAAACAAACTTAAATACACAGGATTTTAATGGCTGGATATCTACCTTATGTCTGTGTGTTAAGCACAGTGTGAGTCAATGCAACAACCAGGACCACTAGAGCCTATGAATCAACATGTTATATCTTGTTTACTTAATATTCATGTAAAAAGGGACAGAGAACTACACTGTGTAATTATTTCTGGCCAAAAAACAGTACATCCATTTGGGTCATACTTCTGTCCAGAATCTGCGAGTCCAGAGGCAAGCTAACACTCGTAACTCATATGATGCTACCAAACCCTGTCACTGAATATAGTTTTAACACCTTTGTTCCATTTGTCTCTCATGCCTTGCCTCACAAGCTCTCATTTGGCCATTTTTTTGACATTTACACCTCAAGAAAAATCAGACAGTAAAGCTACAAAACTGGCAAAATTAACCAACCACAAATGCTGTAAGTCACTCAGTCCTCATTACCAGTGTAATAAAAAGTGCTCCAAAGCATTTTAATGTCTGCCTTAAAAAGACTACAGAGAGGAATTATGACAATGAGTCAGAGACAGTGATGTTAGTCTAGCTCTTCTAGAAATTCGCAACTGCAACTTTACAGAGTCTCATGCAACAGAGATGAAGCACATCAAATGCATCCTTTCTACTAGTACAGCTTTTTTATTTTTTTCCCCCAGTAGATATGGTATTCTCTGCCACCTATCTAGAATGGTGTCGAGTTGCAGTTCATCAATAGACACATTGGTCATCAGTATTGGTGTAGCAGTTGATCAATTATGGCACACAGACACATAAAGCTAAGTTTAAATTTCACTTTCCTCACCAAGAGTTAATCAGCAAGCTTTGGGTCACGAGTTCGCTTCCATTTGTTAAAGTCCTTCTATGGTTATTGATTTAGCCCCTGAAAACTCTTCACTTTGTATCGAAGTTACATATTCTTTTTTTTTGTCTCATTTGTCTTCCATTATTAAAAAGAGCCTATGTGGACATATTAAAAAAAAATTTAAAAAACAAACAACATCAACAACTTGATTTTCATCAGAGCTGGTCTTTGATAAAGATAAAGCAGAACAATGAGCATCACTTGACTGTTGTTGAACTGGAATCAACACTGTACTACGCGACTCAATAATCCGACACTAAATCTAAAACCTTCTTTTATGTCGGATAGTAAGGCTGTCGGATTGTCAAGACGGCGATCGAGATACAAGGAGGGCTTGATGCTTGAAGGGTCATTTGTTGTTCATATTTATTGTTCATAGTTGTTATAATAACTAGTAGGGCTGGTCTGAATAACACATGCTGGTCTCTGGATATTCAGGCCCAATTAATGATGAATATCCAAATATTCGGCACGGTTGGGGGGGGGGGGCACTTCCACCCCGGGGGTGTGCTCCGATGGGGTAAAAGTGGCTAGAATGCACAGGCAGAACTTGGCTGCTGATGTCAGTTTAGTTAGCGGTCACACTTCTGTTTCCACCATCCGTGACTACTTCCGTAAACACTGAGCACGCTCGCTGCGTGTGACGTCGTTGTGTCCTCTTCTGCACACTTTTGGGTCGTATGAAGTTCACACAGCAGATCACATACAAGTCACATTTAACTGGAAATGTGAACAAACTCACAAAAAAATCGGATTTCACCCAAAAATCCGAATTGAGCATCAAGTCCTGCAGTCTGAATGTAGCCAATCTGTCGGACTGTTCAGTCAGATAATACGCCGTTATCCTTATTTGTGACATAAAATGTCATGCCGGAGTCAGAAGACAAGGCTGTTGGTATGTTAAGGCTGTTTTTTATGGGTTCTGTTCGTTCTTCCTAAAAACCTGTCTGATAGCAAGGTTTTCGGATTGTTAAGGGTTGGATTATCGAGTCACGACTGTACTTGAAACTGACTGGACATGACTTTCTCATGATTTCTCAAGACTTGACATATTGATTAATAAAATCAATGCTAAACTAAATTATTTTGTATGCAGCATTTAGAACTTTAGTTTTTGGTTGCTATGTGGCTCAGAATGGATTATTGCATTTATAACTTATCTGGGTTATTTGCCATTGAGTGAAATAAAGGCAGTTACTATTTCTGTGGTTTAGGATTTTAAGATTAGGATTAATATTTTGCTCTTTACATGCAAAGACTCTACTGGTGCTGTCCTTGTCCTACTTTACTACTTCAACAAGCAAAGGGCTGTTTCTACTTTGCTGTTCTATAAATCACCTTATGATGAACCTGTTCATTAAGCGTGTTTTGGACATAAATAAGAGTTGCCAGGCATGTAAAACAGGGTGACTCACGATCTGTTATGTGCCTTAAATATGGCGCGTTTGTCCAGTAAAAACACAATTAAGCAGGTTTTAGTGGGTTCTGGCTGCTCAGGACGAACACTCTGACCACACTGATGAACCACCAAACACTGCCCAGAGTGGAAACTGTCAGCTCCACTCAGGAGGAACATTCACTGACTCCGGACTTTGTTGTTATTGAAATAGGTACAAATGGTCACACCCAGATTTCACCCCGTCCGGCAAAACATCTGTAAGCCTCATCCAGTGACCATTACTGTTTGGATTTGCTTTTCATTCATGTTAGTTTAATTCCTAGTAACTGATTGGACTTGAA